AATAAAATAATTTTTTAAATAATAATATGCTTATTATTTAAATTTATGAAACAATTGTATATATTCAAGCTTATTTACACACGTATTTATACATGTATAAGGAAACATGGGGAAGTAGTTACCGTGGAGAAAACCATTGTTAATCATAGCAACGTAGTATTTTATTTCATATCTTACAAGAATACTCACGTTTTTGTCTATTATTTGACATAGAGAGTAATTATGTAATTATGTAATATTTAAATTACTTAGCTGATAATAATTATTATTTAAAAAAATATTACTTTGCATCAAGATAAATCTTTATTGTTGTCAGAAAAAATAGAAAAGTAAGTATATGTACATATAATATATGTAATGTATACAATACGTATATATATGTTTTTACTGCCGTTAACTAATTAAGAGTAAAGTGATAATTATTTCTATAGTAAAAAATGTTAAATGTTATAATTTATATTAATTTATATTAATAAACGGTTTTATAGCATATTATATTATAATATTAACTAATATAATTTAATATTATAATATTATGGTAAATGTGTTTGAATTGTGTTTATGTTATATTTAATATTATGTACCAAATATTTAATATTTAAGTAAATTTAATTCAAAATATAAAAATATAAAAAATTGCATTTAAATGAAACTCAAATTTCTCAGTGTTTTCTGCTTGAATTAATTAATAGGCAAATGAAAATTTTGTCGGAGCCTAGAGATAACGTGCACATATTTCCACCGGATGGGAATCTTCACAAATCCTCATATCGAAGATTTGGTCCCGAAAAAGAAGTTACTGGAATTTCAGAGACATCTGCTATGTTATCGCAAATTAAATTAAAAGACGAATATAAGCCGATTGCTTGTCCACGACGTAGTTTACTCACAATGCAATCGCTCGCTTCAGCAGAGTATGTATTCCTTACGTTTATATTTCAAAAAATATCATGGATAAATTATATACAAATACATATATTTAAAAAATATTTTATTTTGTCAATAAAATTTTCATTTTTGAAGGACAATTAATCTAAAATTGTCCATTGTTTTTTATCTTTTGATATGAAGAATAAAAGAAATTGCAAAAATTCTTTCTCTTTATAATATTATTCTATTAGGTGTACAACTTTGCTTCCGCCGTTTTTTTTTCCGAAATTCGAGGCTTTATTGTAAAAAACTGGTTATACATTTATGATTCAAAGTATTGTCCATCGCTGGCCACTACTTTCTCCCATCTTTCGGGTAGCGTACGAATCCCGCGTCGAAAAAACTGGTGAGGCTATCCACGAATCGATCCAATTTTTTACTTCTTCATAAGACCGGAAGTGCTGGTCAGCCAGGCCGTGTGCCATTGATCGAAACAAGTGATAGTCAGAGGGAGCAACGTCTGGAGAATACGGCAGGTGGGGTAGGATTTCCCATTTCAACGTTTCCAAATATGTCTTGACCACTTTCGCAACATGGGGTCGAGCATTGTCAAAATCACTTTATCGTGTCTCTCGTTGTATTGCGGCCGTTTGTCTTTCAATGCTCGGCTCAAACGCATCAATTGCGTTCGATACCGATCGCCTGTGATTGTTTCAGTTGGTTTTAACAGTTCATAATACACTACGCCGAGCTGGTCCCATCAAATACAAAGCATGACCTTGGACGTCAAAATCACCGTTTTTGAAGCGTTGAAACCACTTATGACACGTTCTTTCACTAATAGCGGCCTCACCATAAGTATTTGAGAGCATTCGATGAGCCTCAGCCGCAGATTTCTTCATATTGAAGCAAAAAATTAAAACCTCCCGCAAATGAC